ATAGATCGATGAGCTTGGTCTGATGAGTTAACTTAGATCAATGTGCTCAGTACGTTGAGTTTACTTAGATCGATTAGCTTGCTTTGTTGAGTTCACTTCCATCTATTAGCTTGGTATGATAAGTTTAGTAGATGGACTAGCTTGGTCTGAAGAGTTAACATAGATCGATGAGCTTCGCCTGATGAGTTTACTTAGATCGATGAGATTGGTCAGATGAGTTCATTCAGATCGATGAGCTTGGACTAATGAGTTTACTTAGATGGATGTGATTGGTCAGATGAGTTTAATTAGATCAAAGAGCTTGGTCTCATGAGTTTACTGAGATCGATGAGCTTGGTCTGATGAGTTAACTTAGATCAATGTGCTCAGTACGTTGAGTTTACTTAGATCGATAAGCTTGCTTTGTTGAGTTCACTTCCATCGATTAGCTTGGTATGATAAGTTTAGTAGATGGACTAGCTTGGTCTGAAGAGTTAACATAGATCGATGAGCTTGGTCTGATGAGTTAACTTAGATCAATGTGCTCAGTACGTGGAGTTTACTTAGATCGATTAGCTTGCTTTGTTGAGTTCACTTCCATCGATTAGCTTGGTATGATAAGTTTAGTAGATGGACTAGCTTGGTCTGAAGAGTTAACATAGATCGATGAGCTTGGTCTGATGAGTTTACTTAGATCGATTAGCTTGGTCTGATGAGTTTACTTAGATTGATGTNATACCTCCAGCACTCTGTTATTATAAAAGTCTAACCCCTAAGAAGTGACTTGTTTCTATGGAGTGTCTTGCTTCAGAAGGTCTTCTGAAGAAAAAGAGTTCCAAATTTTCTCACTTCTGTTTTACTTATGGAAAAACCTAGGCAGCAAGAGATTAAAGAGACTTTCCCAAGATCATACAGAGGAGGCTGGGAGTAAGGGCCCAGTCTTTGATTCCTGGTTGAGAACTTCTCCACTGCAGTTAGAAACCTGGGCCAGCAAATTGTCACTGTGATTTAATATAAGTCAGCTATATGAGGAAATCCAGATTTTTACTAGGACTTACAGATATAATTTATCCACACTGTAGCTTTAAAGACAGCCAAATTAGAATTCAGCCACAAATGAGAACACTGACTCTAAACCAAGTAGGGAAACTCTATTTCTACAAATAGGAAAGCCCCCAGAAATAATCAGACTCTGATTTAAAGATAGAAAACTCTAGTACACTTACATAAATATCTAGGACTAGGACACTTTGATTGATATATCACAACCTTTGTGGTTTAGGATTAAAAATGAATTCAAGGCAGCCTCCTCCTCAAGAAATGGTACCATCATCTTTGCAAATTACTCACACAACTCAAGACCAAAGTACAAAATACTATTATACAACCTAATTATGCAATTCATCATACATATTATTCTAGGGAGAAATTTCAATAAACTACTTAGAATAACCAAAGTAATAACACAACTCTGTAAATGAAAGACTATTTTTTCCCTTAATTTTTTGTATTTTTTTCCTAGCTGGCAAAACTTATATACCACAAAAGAAGAGATTCAGTTGGATGTAATTCTCTTCTTGATTTCAAGTCAGCTAAAAATTTCCTTCCAGAGATACAAACAAATTATAAACCGAAACACTGCTGTAGCCAATGCCCTTTTATACAGAACATCAGACAGCTTGTTTAAAACAAGCATCCTTAGAGAATACTATATATTTAACTACAAACTGATCCACGGGATGTCTTGAATGTGAATCATACTCACAAACTTAACATGCAATGTTTAAATTAAAATGTACAACAGACTCAAAAATGGAAATGGGCTGTGCCAAATTCTGTAATAGCTCTGTCTCAAAAGAATAACATGTTCAATTTAATATAAACAGATTATCCTCTGGAACTATCAAATATTTGAATTTGAAGGTTTCTGAACAGACTAACATTTAAATTACTTTTCTGCCAAAAGTTCATTATATAAACCTACTTTTGCACATAAGTTGTCAAACCAAAGAGGAGAGTTTTAAAATCTGAAATGTTCAAAAACAACAGAGTAACAAGAATTATCCAGGCCACTTTACCCATATGCTACAAAAAAGCATGTTGTTGTTATAAGGAGGATCAGACGGTATTTGCCAGGCAAATGCTTCTAAATAGTGTAATTCCCACTAATGCATATGACAAGACAGATGATTTGAAGGTTTAAAACCTGCCAATAACTTTTCCCATTAGTTATTACCATGTGTCTGGGAAGAAAAAAAAAAAACCACAAAAGAAAGAAATGAATGCAGCAACTTTAAGAACAGAACCTCCAGTTAGCGTACAGGACTACGCATAAATAGAAATAAATTTGATACATTTCTGTAGGGGACATGCCACTGAGTCGTAGGCTACTCATGACAAAGTTTGAGATAGGACTGCCAGGCAGTAAGGAACACAGCTCTCTCAAACAGGGGTTGGTTTGTTTGCTTTTGGTTAGCAAAGGCAAAATCCACCTCTTAATGTCCTATACCTGTGATTCTATACAAGAGTCACTGTATCTAAAATAACTATTCAATATAAAAGTAGCTATAAAAACAGCAAATATTGATTTTCTTTTTGTCCTTCATACTTTTTTAATTATGAAAGTGGAAATATTTTCTTGTTCTAGAACATGACATTAGAGATTTTCGAGGTAATTAATGTTTCTAGAAAAATATTTACAATGATACATTTCATTACATCTTATATTTAAACCCATCTGAAGTAGTAATAACAATATTAGCTCCCATTTATTGAATCCATACTAGTGTCAAGCACTGTGTAATCCTTCCAACAACTCTTTGTTGGAATAGCAATGACATCATTTTACAGATAAATCTGAGACTTTAGAGGTTAAATTAACACAGCTGGGTAGAGCCCAGATTCAAAACAGGGGTTGTCTGAATCTAAATCTTATTATAGTATACTCCTTTATATCCCAAGAACAAAATGTAAATAATATTACTAGAATACATCCTCAAAAGAAAATTTGAACAAAGATTTAAAAACCAAATAGATGTCAGATGCACCTGATCTATGAACAGCCAGCTATGTGAAAGACCACTACTGTCCCCTGTAAACATTACCCAGAAACAATCGTATCCTACCCACTCTCTGGAACATAAATTGGCAAAATAGAACAGAAACATCAGATGGTATGGAAAGAAAGACACAAAAATGATACAGTAAATAAATCTGACATAATACACACGGTAACATCAACTGCGAGTAGATGCCTTATAAACTAATTTACCTGAATTCCTTTAAATCCACATAGGAAATAGTTGTGCCAGAGAGGCTTGGTTTTGTCAATCTGAATGTTATTGGCACTAGTACTGAAGTCCCTGCAAAAACAAAAAGGCACCATTAATTTAAACCTGTAAGGTTTGAGCTACAAAATCAGTGACTAACTGCTGCCATCTTGTGCCAAGGCCGTGATACTGAAATCTCCTTTTCTGTTTACTTTGAGTATCTGTACTCCATTGCTACCTCAGAACAATAAACAATCCCAGCTACTAAAAGTTGAGAGGAAGTTGTAGTGGCCTTAATGAGTATACTACCTCCAACTGACACTTTTTATTTCCTGAAACAGAGTGGAACCAATGTATTTTAGCATAATCTACAACGATTTTCTCTTTCAGATTGGCTCTTGTTAAGCTTGTGTAAATCACATGAATGCTTATCCTCTGGGGCCTGCTGTTTGGGTGGACAAGGAAGGCCTTCCTGGAGGCTCAGAGAGGTTTAGTGATTTTCCAAAGACACACAGTCTGACTCCAGCTTTAGCATTTTACTCTATTGTCACATATAGAAGTTAAAATTTGTTGCCCACAGTAAACAAAAGGTCACAGAATTTGGAAGGAGATAAAGTTACGTCAGCAAATCCGCCAGATTCTGTTCCTAGCTAAGAGGAAATCTTAAAAGTCACAAAGAAAAGAAACCAGGAAGGGATGGGGGTGGGGGAGTAAAATTAGACAAAGAGGAGGAGGAAAGTTACATAGATTTAGGAAGCCAGATAAGCCACTTTAAGGAAAAAGCTAAAAAGTGCCAGCTCCTGCAGAATTAGAGGTATAGCTTACATCTATCATAGAAAAAAACCTGCTCTTGATTAGTTATTTATCTTCCCAGCATCCCTGTCTTGCTTCCCTGCCTAGCCTTTTCTTGAGGTTCAAAAATAGGCACTCATTTTTCTACCAAACCTCAATCTAGCATTATATTCATCATTGTAGGAATGGTTAAGTGAATTTGAGTAAATCAATATGACAAAATATCACGCACCCATTTTTAAACATTCACAAACAATGACACAAAAATGTGTTTGAGATCACATAAGCTTTTCTTTGAAGGATACAAAATGTACATAAGATATATTATCAACCATACAAAATGAATAGGAAAAAAATCTTATGCAGTGGTAAGTTCCACATGAAAGGAATTTCTTTATCTTGCACAGCCTAGTAGAACGCCTTATCAAAAATATTTGCTGAATGAATTAACATTATTACAAGCAAACTATCCAGTGAAAAAGAAGATATAATGTACAACTGTATGCCAAAATCTTTTCTTGTAATTAGCAAATCACATCATAATACATCATAAGTAGAGCTTATTTTAGGAATGCAAAACTGGTTCAACATTAGAAAATCCATCAGAGTAATTCACTTTTTTAAAAAAAACTGTTTTTCATTTTTTTTCTTTTATGACTTTTTTTTACTGAAACATAATTGATTGCACATATCTGAGGGCTACAATGTTAAATATCAATACCTATGTGTGATATGTGATGCTCAAATCAGGATAATTACTATATTTATCATTATACGATGTATTCATTTTTTGTGACCCGTTACCAATTTCTCCCTAACCCTTCCCTTCCCCTTTCCATCCTCTGGTGGCCTTGGTTCCATTCTCTCCTTTTGAAAGTTCAAGGAATTACCATGATTGTTGTATCTTTCTTTCATTTATTTATTTGTTTGTTTGTTTTTTTAGCTCCCATTTATGAGTGAGGACATTCAGTGTTTCTTTTTCTGTGAGTGGTTTATTTAATGTAACATAGTTTTCTCTAAGTTCATCCATGTTGCTGCAAATGGTAGAATTTCATTCTTTTTATGGCAGGGTAATATTCCATTGTGTATATATACCACATTTTCCTTATCCAGTCATCTGTTGATAGACATTTACGTTGGTTCCAACTCTTAGCTATTATAAATAGAGCTGCGATAAACATGGGAGTGCAGGTATCTCAACATGATGATTTCCATTCCTTTGGGTATACACCCAGCAGAAATACCTATTTAGCTCCTTTGCGCCCATTTTTTAATCAGGTTACTTGGTTTTTTTACTGTTGTTTGAATTCCTTGTATATTCTGGATATTAATGCCTTGTTGGATGCATAGTTTGCAAATATTTTCTCCTATTCCATAGGTTGTCTTTTAGCTCTGTTATTCTTTCTTTTGCTGTGCAGAAGCTTTTTAGTTTGATATAATCCCATTTGTTTATTTTCTTTTTCTTGCCTGTCCTTTTGGGGTCTTGTTCATAAAGTCCTTGTCCAGTCCTACTACCTGAAGTGTTTCCTCTATGTTTTCTTTCAGGAGTTTTTATAGTTTCAGTTCTTATATTTAAAGTCTTTAATCCATTTTGAGTTGATTTTGAAAAACGGTGAGAGGTACAGGTCTACTTTCATTCTTCTACATATGGATATCTAGTTTTCCCAGCACCATTTATTGAAGAGGCAGTCCTTTCCCCAATGTATGCTCCTGTTGCCTTTGTCAAACATCAATTGGCTGTAAGTATATGGGTTGATGTCTGGGTTCTCTATTCTGTTTCATTGTTCCAAGTGTCTATTTTTATATCAGTGCCATACTGCTTTGGTTAGTACAGTTTTGTAGTATAATTTGAAGTCAGGTAATATTATGCCTCTGGTTTTATTTTTTTTCTTCAGGATTGCTTTGGCTATTCAGGGTCTTTTGTTCTTCCATATAAATGTTAGGATTGCTAAAAAAAATACTGATTTTCAATACTGAATAGACATTTAATAAAATTCAATACCTATTAATGAATTTTTAAAAAATCTTAGTGAAGTAAGAATTCTTTTTAAATCTCCTTAACTTGAAAAAAGTATATGTACTAGAAACTTACATCTATTTTGCACCAGACTTTCCATTTTACACTGATGCTAGAGCACTGAAAAAAGACAGCAGTTCCTTAAGTCACAGACATTACAATCTACCAGAGGATACAGGTAAGTAAACAGATAATGGTAGAACAGCATGGTGAGATGCAATGACAAGAGAATTAGAGGGTGTCATAGTAACATAGAAAAGATACTAGACCTGATTGTGCTGAAGATAGTTACCTCAACAGATTTATCAACAGATGATAAATACCTTCTGGGCAAGGACAGAGATATTTTCATCTTTGTATCACTCCATATCTAAGACAATATCTAGAACATGTTAAATCTTTGGCAAATGTTTCTTAAATGAATAACAAATGAACAAAATGAGCAAATATTAAATAGTGACCTTAGATTCTTTTAAATGTCAAGAACAAAATTTCAATAAATTAAATGATTTGTTGTAAATTTAACATCTCATAAAGAGTTCATTCGGGTACAAACACAACACCATACATAAACACACACACACACACACACAATTAGCAATCCTAAATACTCACAGATACAAGGGATTTGTATTGGCCAAGTGGAGAGTGTGTGTTTTCACAGGTTCCACAGCTATTAATATATCTTGTTCTACAGCCATAGGAAGAACAGAATATCCACAGTAATCTATATGCTCTCCTAGAAAAAGAAAGCATTTTTTATTATTGCTAGCATATGAAAAAAAAGAACCTGAAGTAAACTGACATGCTGCAAAAACTAACTACGAGCCAGGTTTTAACAGAAAATAAAAATAATATGGGCAGAGAGTTATTCAGTATTCTTTTCCTGCAGACATTTGAGCTAGAAACTTCAGCTAGCCATAAATATATTAATTATTAGTTTCTGTTAATTTTTGGAGTCCTTTAAATCTTAGGGTCTTTAGGGGCTGGCCAGTTAGCTTAGCTGGTTAGAGTGTGGTGCTGGTTAACACCAAGGTCCAGGGCTCAATCCCGGTACTGGCTAGCCATTAAAAACAAAAACAAATAAACAAAAAAAAAAAAACTTTAGTTTTTTATTCCACTTTCTAATTCATAGTGATCATTTTCAAATATTTATGTTATGTGACTACTTATATGAGCATCAAATATGGCAAAAAAAGATATGAAAACTGTTATATTTTCAATATTTCAACAGAAATTATAATGCTTTTAACAAATTCATTCATCCCAAGCACTAATTTTGTATCCTTTGACCAACATCTCTCCAACCACCTCCCCCGCAACCCAACCACCCTGGCCATTGGTAACCACCATTCTACTCTCTGCTTGAGATCAACTTTTTTAAAGTCCATATATGAGTGAGATCACATGGTATTTGTCTTTCTGTGCCTGGCTTATCTTACTTAACATAATGTCTTCCAGGTTCATTCATGTTGTCACAAATGACAGGATATTCTTCTTTTTTATGGCTGAATTGTATTCCTTGTGTGCATATACCACATTTTCTTTATCAATTTATATACTGATGGTCACTTAAGTTGATTACATATATTGGCTATTGTGAGTAATGCTACAATGAATATGGGAGTTCAGATATCTCTTTGATATTCTGGTTTCATTTCCTTTGGATATATACCCAGTAGTGGGATCACTGGCTCATACGGTAGTTCTATTTTTAATTTTGTTAACGAACTTCCATACTGTTTTCTATAAAGGCTGCACAAATTGACATTGACACCAACAATGTGCAAAAGCTACCTTTTCTCCACATCCTCATCAACACTTGTTATGTTTTGTCTTTTTGTTAATAGCCATTATGACAAGTGTGAAGTGATAGCTCATCATGATTTTAACTTGCATTTCCCTGATGATTAGTTATGTTGAGCATTTTTTTCACATACCTGTCGGTCATTTGTATGCATTCTTTTAAAAAATGTCTATTCAGGTCCTTTGCCCATTTTTTTTTNCTGGGCCAGCAAATTGTCACTGTGATTTAATATAAGTCAGCTATATGAGGAAATCCAGATTTTTACTAGGACTTACAGATATAATTTATCCACACTGTAGCTTTAAAGACAGCCAAATTAGAATTCAGCCACAAATGAGAACACTGACTCTAAACCAAGTAGGGAAACTCTATTTCTACAAATAGGAAAGCCCCCAGAAATAATCAGACTCTGATTTAAAGATAGAAAACTCTAGTACACTTACATAAATATCTAGGACTAGGACACTTTGATTGATATATCACAACCTTTGTGGTTTAGGATTAAAAATGAATTCAAGGCAGCCTCCTCCTCAAGAAATGGTACCATCATCTTTGCAAATTACTCACACAACTCAAGACCAAAGTACAAAATACTATTATACAACCTAATTATGCAATTCATCATACATATTATTCTAGGGAGAAATTTCAATAAACTACTTAGAATAACCAAAGTAATAACACAACTCTGTAAATGAAAGACTATTTTTTCCCTTAATTTTTTGTATTTTTTTCCTAGCTGGCAAAACTTATATACCACAAAAGAAGAGATTCAGTTGGATGTAATTCTCTTCTTGATTTCAAGTCAGCTAAAAATTTCCTTCCAGAGATACAAACAAATTATAAACCGAAACACTGCTGTAGCCAATGCCCTTTTATACAGAACATCAGACAGCTTGTTTAAAACAAGCATCCTTAGAGAATACTATATATTTAACTACAAACTGATCCACGGGATGTCTTGAATGTGAATCATACTCACAAACTTAACATGCAATGTTTAAATTAAAATGTACAACAGACTCAAAAATGGAAATGGGCTGTGCCAAATTCTGTAATAGCTCTGTCTCAAAAGAATAACATGTTCAATTTAATATAAACAGATTATCCTCTGGAACTATCAAATATTTGAATTTGAAGGTTTCTGAACAGACTAACATTTAAATTACTTTTCTGCCAAAAGTTCATTATATAAACCTACTTTTGCACATAAGTTGTCAAACCAAAGAGGAGAGTTTTAAAATCTGAAATGTTCAAAAACAACAGAGTAACAAGAATTATCCAGGCCACTTTACCCATATGCTACAAAAAAGCATGTTGTTGTTATAAGGAGGATCAGACGGTATTTGCCAGGCAAATGCTTCTAAATAGTGTAATTCCCACTAATGCATATGACAAGACAGATGATTTGAAGGTTTAAAACCTGCCAATAACTTTTCCCATTAGTTATTACCATGTGTCTGGGAAGAAAAAAAAAAAACCACAAAAGAAAGAAATGAATGCAGCAACTTTAAGAACAGAACCTCCAGTTAGCGTACAGGACTACGCATAAATAGAAATAAATTTGATACATTTCTGTAGGGGACATGCCACTGAGTCGTAGGCTACTCATGACAAAGTTTGAGATAGGACTGCCAGGCAGTAAGGAACACAGCTCTCTCAAACAGGGGTTGGTTTGTTTGCTTTTGGTTAGCAAAGGCAAAATCCACCTCTTAATGTCCTATACCTGTGATTCTATACAAGAGTCACTGTATCTAAAATAACTATTCAATATAAAAGTAGCTATAAAAACAGCAAATATTGATTTTCTTTTTGTCCTTCAGACTTTTTTAATTATGAGAGAAAGTGGAAATATTTTCTTGTTCTAGAACATGACATTAGAGATTTTCGAGGTAATTAATGTTACTTTTTTAATTATGAAAGTGGAAATATTTTCTTGTTCTAGAACATGACATTAGAGATTTTCGAGGTAATTAATGTTTCTAGAAAAATATTTACAATGATACATTTCATTACATCTTATATTTAAACCCATCTGAAGTAGTAATAACAATATTAGCTCCCATTTATTGAATCCATACTAGTGTCAAGCACTGTGTAATCCTTCCAACAACTCTTTGTTGGAATAGCAATGACATCATTTTACAGATAAATCTGAGACTTTAGAGGTTAAATTAACACAGCTGGGTAGAGCCCAGATTCAAAACAGGGGTTGTCTGAATCTAAATCTTATTATAGTATACTCCTTTATATCCCAAGAACAAAATGTAAATAATATTACTAGAATACATCCTCAAAAGAAAATTTGAACAAAGATTTAAAAACCAAATAGATGTCAGATGCACCTGATCTATGAACAGCCAGCTATGTGAAAGACCACTACTGTCCCCTGTAAACATTACCCAGAAACAATCGTATCCTACCCACTCTCTGGAACATAAATTGGCAAAATAGAACAGAAACATCAGATGGTATGGAAAGAAAGACACAAAAATGATACAGTAAATAAATCTGACATAATACACACGGTAACATCAACTGCGAGTAGATGCCTTATAAACTAATTTACCTGAATTCCTTTAAATCCACATAGGAAATAGTTGTGCCAGAGAGGACAAAAATGATACAGTAAATAAATCTGACATAATACATACGGTAACATCAACTGCGAGTGGATTCCTTATAAACTAATTTACCTGAATTCCTTTAAATCCACATAGGAAATAGTTGTGCCAGAGAGGCTTGGTTTTGTCAATCTGAATGTTATTGGCACTAGTACTGAAGTCCCTGCAAAAACAAAAAGGCACCATTAATTTAAACCTGTAAGGTTTGAGCTACAAAATCAGTGACTAACTGCTGCCATCTTGTGCCAAGGCCGTGATACTGAAATCTCCTTTTCTGTTTACTTTGAGTATCTGTACTCCATTGCTACCTCAGAACAATAAACAATCCCAGCTACTAAAAGTTGAGAGGAAGTTGTAGTGGCCTTAATGAGTATACTACCTCCAACTGACACTTTTTATTTCCTGAAACAGAGTGGAACCAATGTATTTTAGCATAATCTACAACGATTTTCTCTTTCAGATTGGCTCTTGTTAAGCTTGTGTAAATCACATGAATGCTTATCCTCTGGGGCCTGCTGTTTGGGTGGACAAGGAAGGCCTTCCTGGAGGCTCAGAGAGGTTTAGTGATTTTCCAAAGACACACAGTCTGACTCCAGCTTTAGCATTTTACTCTATTGTCACATATAGAAGTTAAAATTTGTTGCCCACAGTAAACAAAAGGTCACAGAATTTGGAAGGAGATAAAGTTACGTCAGCAAATCCGCCAGATTCTGTTCCTAGCTAAGAGGAAATCTTAAAAGTCACAAAGAAAAGAAACCAGGAAGGGATGGGGGTGGGGGAGTAAAATTAGACAAAGAGGAGGAGGAAAGTTACATAGATTTAGGAAGCCAGATAAGCCACTTTAAGGAAAAAGCTAAAAAGTGCCAGCTCCTGCAGAATTAGAGGTATAGCTTACATCTATCATAGAAAAAAACCTGCTCTTGATTAGTTATTTATCTTCCCAGCATCCCTGTCTTGCTTCCCTGCCTAGCCTTTTCTTGAGGTTCAAAAATAGGCACTCATTTTTCTACCAAACCTCAATCTAGCATTATATTCATCATTGTAGGAATGGTTAAGTGAATTTGAGTAAATCAATATGACAAAATATCACGCACCCATTTTTAAACATTCACAAACAATGACACAAAAATGTGTTTGAGATCACATAAGCTTTTCTTTGAAGGATACAAAATGTACATAAGATATATTATCAACCATACAAAATGAATAGGAAAAAAATCTTATGCAGTGGTAAGTTCCACATGAAAGGAATTTCTTTATCTTGCACAGCCTAGTAGAACGCCTTATCAAAAATATTTGCTGAATGAA